TTTTTCTACTTGTTCTATCACGTTACCATTTATTACGTCAATAGGTGATGTATATTTTGTGGCCTTTTTGTAATTAGCATGTACTTCGTTTTTTTGGCGTTTATAGTAATTCCCATCTCAGCACTATTTATACTCAAGCTTTCGATAAGATGTTGTAGATCCTCCATACTCGTTGCTATGATCACAGTGTCGTCTGCATATCTTAAATTATTAATTAATTTTCCGTTAACGGTGACTCCCGCTTTGATATTATTGAGCGTGTTTTGGAAAATTTCTTCAGAATATAAGTTAAACAAAAGTGGTGATAACACACATCCCTGTCTAACTCCTCTACAGATCTTCATTTCTTCTGAGTGTTGCCCATCAATTTGAACTATGGCACTTTGGTTCCAATATAATGTTTGCACTATATTTATGATTTTACTGTCAATGCGCTTGTTCATAAGTATTGATATTAGTTTTTCATGTCTTACTTTATCGAAAGCTTTTTCGTAGTCAACGAAGCACAAGTGTAGATCAACATTCACATCCCGACATCTATTCGAAATTTATGTCGTTCAACGTTATTTCTCTAATATTCAGTGTATTTGTCATTAGTTTTGTTTTTTCCAAGTTCATTTTGAGACCTTACTTTTTCCTAAGCTTGAAATAGTTGCGTCATCATGGCCTGTAGTTCTTCGAAACTTGTAAAGAATATTACAATGTCATTAGCGTATCTCAAATGACTCAATTTTCTTCCATTAACATTTATTACTTTATCTATCCAGTCAATCTCTTTAAACACCTCTTCTAGTCCAAGTGTGAATAGCTTTGGTTAGATAACATTTCCCTAGCGAACTCCTCTATCTGTTGCTTGGTATAGCCTTGGCTTTCGCAAAGTTTAAGGCAAAGAGAGCTCCTCTTGTATCTAATCCTTTTCTGAATCCCATCTGTGTATCGTTAATATCGATATCTAACTTTTGATAGATTGGGTTGTATATGACTCCAAGAAATATTTTAAGCAGATAACTCATCAAAGAGATTGTTCGATAATCTGAGCATTGCATTGCCTTAGTTTTCTTCGGTATGGTGACAAACGTAGACAACAACCATTGTTGAGGTAATATACCAGTACTATATATTTATCATTCATATGCATTTATCATTCTAAAGCTTCAACAGTTCTGTAGGAATTTCATTAGCTCCATTTGCTTTTCCATTTTTAGCGTTTCTTATTGCATATTCTACTTCTTTTTTGAATATGTCTGGCCCAGGTGCATTGATTATTTGAGTTAAGTTGTTTCTGTCATCTTCAAATAATTTATTCAGGTATTCTGTCCATCTTTTTATTTTATTCTCTAGATCTACAATAAGATTGTCATCTTTGTCTTTAAGTTTGCCTATTTGGCATTTCTTTATGCTTATTCTTATCTCTTTTACATTTTTGTGAATATTTGTTATAATAATCAAAGTTTAAAGAGAATTAAAATTTCAAGTTTTTATTTTAAAAATGCAAGTGCTCTGTTTTTCTTGAAGGTGAGCGTATTTTACTTGCTGGTGACTGAATAGGTAATATAATAATTTCAGTTTCAATAACGTTTTTTACTTTTACTATTGTATTACCTATAATTTACTGAGTGTAACACTAAAGAAGTTTGAACTTAATACAATTATACGAGTTATGTTACTCTTACTTTTAAATAACAAAACAAACCAGATATAATTTCAGAATTAATAATCAGACCATATCCAATATTACTTTACATATTAAAGTGTTAGATTTTTAAAAATTAATGATTTTGATACTACTCTGATTAGACCAGTGTCGAAGCCTTTAAAAAAGGTGAAAAGTAAAATAAAATTATAGTAGAATAAAACCTATTGGAAAAAGAAGAGAATATGCTAAAATTGAAAGAAAAAATAAATTACACTCAAAGTTAAATAGCACAGTTGTAGGTAACAAAAAGATCTACAACTTTTGTATTTATACCTTTTTAACATAACCTCAAAATTTATGTGGAAAATTCAAAAAACTAAGTTTTTGATTTTTTATTTTTATCTTAAAAAAAAATTACGAAATTAGGTGAAAACTTGCCTTAGTATGTATCAAATACACTGTAATTTTTTGTAATTGAAAAATTTATTTTTTTACCTGATATTGATTTATTATCGAAAAAGCACCCTAATTGTCAATCGAAAATTGACGCGTCAAAATATCAGTTTTTTTTTTAAAGTCGGTGGGCTTTTTGTTCGTTGAAATCTCTACTTTCCGATAGGGTAAAAAAATATACATTACTATGGGAAATGTTCACAAAAAACGCAAAAAAACGAAGAAAACTCGAATCGAACAATTTTTTTTCATCATTATGTACAATTACCTAGAAACTATGATCATACTTGTGGAAGTTTGCAATGAAATGGAAGATTTTTGTAATGTTTCTTTTGCAAGTACAGAGCAGCACATTGATTCACGTCAATATAGAATAAAAAGAGATGTAGCAGATTTACAACTATTACATAAATTTTTCAACAGATATAATCCCTTTTCAGAGACTGATAACATTATGTCAATATTTTCTGGAATTATTGGCAGTACTTCTGTAAATTGTTACGAAGCGTATGAAGAAGGAGAAAAATCTTTTTAAGCTATTGTGAGAATGAATTTTGGCAGTGTCAAATTTAAAAGAAAAAACAAAGTGTTGTCTTTAAAAACCGTTCAATCTTCCGTTAAAGTAAACGGAGATATTATAATAATCGATCTGTTATTGCTATTTCATCGAATATCTCTAATGATCGAGAGTAAAAAAGATATGCAGACTTATTTAAAATTCGAACTTGCACCTTATTCATTGTCACTTTTTACCGAAAATGGTCTCAGGAAAACCGTTACATCTCAGCTCTATGAATTATTTGTGAGTACAAATGGACCAACGCATTCTGACGGCATTGTGCATGTCGTCGAGGGTGGATTTTGGCTGCAAAAAGTAATTTGGCAGAAAAATGAAACGGTGGAAGAGCTCATGAATGTATGTTTGCGCTATGTCGAAAAACATTATGCAGCAGGCAGCCATTTCGTTTTTGACGGCTATCCCGAAATTGAAAAATCAGTAACTGTGACACCAGCACCAGCAGCTCATTCAACTAAAAAGGAGAAAGTAGTCAAAAAAAAACCTAAGACAATATTTCAAAGTTTCATTATTAAAACCATACTAAAATACTATTTTTGTAGGAAACAATTTTATCAAACGAGAAAAACAAAGACGAAATAATCAAAACGTTAATGGAAATATTATAGTCACAAGAATTTTTCTGTAAACAAGTAGAAGAAGATGCTGAATCTGATATAATTAAGACTTCGATAGAAATTGCCAGAGATACAAATAAAACTGTCATTGTTGTGGGTCAATATATTGATCTTTTGGTCCTTTTGATTCAATTAAATGAAAATAATAATGACATTTATTTTCTTAAATTAGGTTCTGGGACTGTTAAAGATCAGTTTTTCACGTTTTCACGTTTTCAATAGTTTCAAATATGGATCTTACACAAATATCATTGCATTCGTCCATGTTTGGGCATAGGCCTCTCCCAACTCCTTCCATCGGTCTCTATCCTGAGCAACATATTCCCAATTTGTTCCAGCTATTCTTCTAATGTCATCAACCCATCTCACCTGTGGTCTTCCTCTTGGTCGTTTACTTTTGTATTGCCCAATGTTGTATTGTACTATGGTCTTTTTGTCTAGCAGTGTGGCCCGCGAAGCTCCATTAAAGTTTGGCAATTTTTGTGGCTAGTTTATTCATGTTTACCTTGGTTAGGGTCCAGGTTTGGCATCCATATGTCATGATAGAAAGGAAGCATTGGTTGAACACTTTGCTCCTCAAGTATTGGGGTATTTTGCGATTTTTAAGTATCCAACTAAGTTTTCCAAATCCTGCCCTTGCTAGTCTTGCTCTTCTAGTAATTTCCGCACTTTGGTTCTCTTTGTCAAGTCTCAGGATTTGGCCTAAGTAGATATATTCTTGGACTTTTTCTATTTCACTGCCATTTATAGTTATGCCATAGGTTAACAAATTTGTAGTTTTGAAGACGTCTTCTAGGGCTAGGTTGAAAAGCTTTGGCGATATTACGTCTCCTTGTCTCACTCCTCTATTAATGAGGATGGGATTTGTATTTTCTTCTAGTTGTACTATCATAGTTGCATTTTCATATGTACATGGCAGATACAGGCAACTAATACATATATTATGTATTAGTTGCCTATATCTCGAATCTATTCTACAATTATTAATAGCTTGTTCTAAACCGTTGTTCTAATTCTGTTTAAATTTAGTTTACATTATATGGTATGAAGTATTAGGATGTTAAAGTTACCAGTGGATATGATAACATGGCGACGTATGACTCCACATAAAGTTGCTGGTCCTGAGACTATGTATCTACGAGGATTTGATGAAAACAACTGAGAGTTGCTTTCGTCCAATCAATTTGAACAATGGTTTTTTGGCCCTCCTACGGCCGGCTCTGAATTAAAGTATTTTTCAACTGATCCTTTCTTAGTAAGTTTATCAATTCATTCATTGTCAATATTCTCCAATAATCTACCATTCATACTTTTGAACTTTTAATTTGTTGATATAATCTATGTTTCTAATAAATTTTTGCAGCTTCTTCTAGTACTTGCTACTAGGGGTACCTGTAAGTTATAAATTTATTTCACATAATCGTAATAAAAATTTTATAACCAAGATAATAATGTAATTATAATGGATATAAAAATATAAACAATTAAATTTAAATAAATTTGATATCGTACCACATTATTATTATGTTTTTTGTAGCATACTATACCCCTACGGATACCCAAGTGTTAAGGTCGCATAATACATGCAATACTCCCGCAATGCGGCAGGCAGGCGTGTCGATTTTGGGGGGCTCGTCGAGGCCGGCGGTACCCATAATCGTTTACAAAGTGGTAGGGTTTAGGGAAAGTACCGCAGCCGCCAAAGACATGCCATGCTATCTTTGATAACATAAACATTGGTATCATTCAGTGTTTCTTTCGTAGTGCGGTACCGGTGGAATACGCGTATTACGGATACCAATATTGTTCACTGGTTTAAAATTGCGTGAAATTTTTTGTTTGTTTCAGTGATTTTATGGTTCAATCTTTGAAGGTTTGTTTGTGTAAGTGATTCTAATTTTTTACTTTTTTTGTGGCGGATTTTGGTTGCAGAAAGTTGTTTTATTTGATAGATTTGTTTTAATTATTTACTTGAAATTTTAACGGTACTTTAATGAATAAATAAAAGTTGGTATCAATTAAATAGTTTTTGGCGCAGCTCTAAAAATAATGTTGACATATACAAGATGATGCTTACATGTGTAGAACTATCTATAAATAGCCAATTAGAATATACTTTTGAAATTCTTTGTCTTCTTTTTTTTAACTTTTTATATTAAGTAGCAGTTTCGGGATTACAGTTCTTATTCGTATTTCTTTTCTATCTATCCCTTCTAGTTCTTCTGGTTTTTTAACAATTATTTCATCTGCTGATTTTTTTTGTTTATTTACTTGGACGTATAAATTTTTTTTATTATCTACTAGATATACTATATGATCTGCATACGATAATCTCTTCAAACTCAGTGTCAGTAAGTTTCTATAATGCATTGTAGTTCTAGTAGTTTAGCCGATATTTTGGTCTTTTGTTTTCTGATCCTAGAAATGTCTGTACCATAAAAGTTCTTTCTTCTTCTTCTTCAGTGCCTTATCCGGTCCGCATGTTGGCGATCATCAAGACTATCATGGTTTTATTGACTGCTCTGCAAAACAGCTCCGCTGAGGTTATCCCGAACCATTTGGGATCTTTGGATTCTATTGGCTTGAAGAAAAGTTCTTTGGATTCTATTAATCAATCAATAAATCAATAATGCCTTTTTATTTCTCCTTAAAAAAATACAATACAATATTCTCTTTTAGCGACATTTTATTCTCCTTGACATATGTCATCAGAAGGGTTGGTAAACAAATATTATTCTCTAATATACAAATAATTACGCTAAGGCTCATTCTATCTAACAATGCCATTAAAATTAATAAAAGTAAATTAAGTAAATATTCATATAAATGTTATAAACTAAATGTGTATATCCTACTGAGTAACACTTCGCACTAGACTAAACAATAATAACAATGTATAACAATAAGGTATACCTTGCATTTGAAATGATTAAATTTGTCCCTTAGAGAAAGTACTAGCTGTTTATATAATAATAATAATAACAATAACAATAACAAAATTAGGGTTGCCCAAAATCGGTCTTGATCTTGCAGTCTTGGTCTTGTTCTTGCGTTTTCGCAAGACCAAAACCAAGACCGCCTAATTTTAGCCAGAACAAGACTAAGCTTGCGAGACTCTTGCGTCTTGCAGTTAGGATTGAGTCTCGTTTTAGTGAGTATAGTAGTTTGGATATATGTTTAAATACTCTATAAGATGCAAAAAAATAAGTAGTAAAAATTTGAAAAACTGGACTTATGCGCATTACGAAAAATACCATAAACATACATACCGAATCAAAATATTCATTAAAAAAATACATTTGACACGTGCTTAGAGGTCATAATTACAATGTAAAAATAAAATATTCTGTACATTCTTCTCCAGCAGACGACTTCATCGCTCTGAAATTAATTATTGTCCAGATTTTGAGCCGACAGTAATATCGTATCGAATTTTTTTAAAAATATGTCACCTTAGCTAATAAACACTTATTGTTATAAACACCCACTTAATAACAATCGTAAAATAGTTTCGAAACACAATTCAGATTTCTGCTTTATAATCTGAGCCTTCTAAAAATTGCAAGGCAAACAGACGTTGATAAAAGATGTTAAAAGAGACATGGGGAATCTAAAATTTGCATTCCACGACATGTCTTTTACAACTAAGCAGAAATCCTTAGCGAATTGTGCTTCTTGTACTCACACAGAGCAAATCCGAATAAAATGAGAAAAGGCAGCAAATATTTGATTTCACGCAAACAAATCCTATGTATCTCTTGATACGTATTTCGACCTAATAGGTCTCGTCAGAAGAGCTATTCATAGGGCTTCTCAACGTGAAAAATCAATATTTTCTGCCTTTTAAGAAGCAACAATAACATGGCTTCAATACGGACGCAGTAGCGACATCTAATTACAACAATCGTAAAATAGTTTCGAAACACAATTCAGATTTCTGCTTTATAATCTGAGCCTTATAGTTTATTCGTCTTCCGGGTTTGGACCGTGTCATTTGTGAGTGACCCAAAAGTGGGTTCATCTCGACGTTTCGCTACAATTATATGTAGCTTCTTCAGGAGAAACAAAGAAAAAGAAAAAAGAAAACAAAAGAACAGGAAGATGGGTAGTTAGCAACGGTAACTCAGTTACTCAACGCAACCAGAGGCGAATACTAACTACCAAGATGGGCATTTGGTCACAGTAACATGGATGAGCTATCCTAACCTGTTAGGTTAGGTTAGGTTACTGTTAGTTGTTACTGTGACCAAATGCCCATCTTGGTAGTTAGTATTCGCCTCTGGTTGCGTTGAGTAACTGAGTTACCGTTGCTAACTACCCATCTTCCTGTTCTTTTGTTTTCTTTTTTCTTTTTCTTTGTTTCTCCTGAAGAAGCTACATATAATTGTAGCGAAACGTCGAGATGAACCCACTTTTGGGTCACTCACAAATGACACGGTCCAAACCCGGAAGACGAATAAACTATAATTCTGACTCTGGCCGTGGAAGCCTACGATTTAATCTGAGCCTTCTAAAAATTGCAAGGCAAACAGACGTTGATAAAAGATGTTAAAAAGATTCCCCATGTCTCTTTTAACATCTTTTATCAACGTCTGTTTGCCTTGCAATTTTTAGAAGGCTCAGATTATAAAGCAGAAATCTGAATTGTGTTTCGAAACTATTTTACGATTGTTGTAATTAGATGTCGCTACTGCGTCCGTATTGAAGCCATGTTATTGTTGATTCTTAAAAGGCAGAAAATATTGATTTTTCACGTTGAGAAGCCCTATGAATAGCTCTTCTGACGAGATCTATTAGGTCGAAATACGTATCAAGAGATACATAGGATTTGTTTGCGTGAAATCAAATATTTGCTGCCTTTTCTCATTTTAACCCACTTAATAATTTAATTTTTTTCCCAATATAATTTAATTAGGAATAATCTAAATAAACAAATCTTATCGGCCTAAGACTAAACATTGTTTCTGCTGAGCGTGCGATGAGATCATTCGGTTAAACAAAATTTGCTAAAATAGCGCGGCTAATATTCAAAAGTAACGAAACAAATTAATAACAGATAATTACGTCGCCTATTTAGAATACCGAAGTAAGATATATAATTCTCGGTTTGTTATTAGATACTTAGGGTATTGGATAGTAACAAACATAAAGTAACTAGTAGTAGTTACTTTTTCGACATCACTAATATCATAAATGACATGAAGTCTAGTTCTAGTCAGAGAAGTGAGTGTTTGAGTTATAGATCTAAAAGACCTAAAAGAAAATTTGATGCGTTTTTCAAAATGATTCATGCATCCCAAATTGCTTTGTGTAAATTGTGCCTACATAGAAAGGTTGAAATGAAAATAAAAAACAGAAACACGTCGGGTTTAAGTAAGCATCTAATATCGTTTCACAAAAAGGAATTATAAATATTTCTTACTGAAAAACCAATATTCGGTGGAGATACCGCAAGCTTTTTAATGACCGCTGGAAAAAGTGGATATGTAAAAAATATACGTATTACCTTATTATTAATTACATGTATTACGTACCTACCACTTTGTTTGGGTAAATTAATGTATTTATTAAGTAGGTATCTCCTTAACATAAAATAACTTCTTTTGATTATCATTGCTTTTTTACCTATTATTTATTTTTTCAAGTTAGTTTTGTATATAAAAGTAGAGCTAAGATTGTTAACAACATTTTTTTTTGCTTTAATAAATGAATTATAGTTTCTTATCTTATCACCTAAAGAATCTGTGCCCTTGATACACGTACAGTTGCGGTCACGGAATAGTTTACACCTTACTTTTTATATTGTAATACTGTAAAATTGCAGTGTCATGTCGTACGGATTTGATAAATGTCAAAGTCAAAAAATTTCAAAACGTCAATGCTTTCGCGAGTGTTCAACAATAAAATAAAAGTATATTAAACTCTTCCAAAATGGTTAGAATACATTTGAATTATGCGCAAAAAGCAAGAGCAATTGCCAAACTCGAAGAAGGTTGGTCACTAAGGCAAGTTGCTGCTGATTTGAAGTTGCTGAGTCATATGTGCATATGGAAGATTAAACAAAGATGGGATAATTTTCACTCTATAGTACGGTTGGGCGATTCAGGAGGGCAGAAGATTTCCACAGATCAACAGGATGAGATGTTAGTAGATTATTTGAGAGAATCTCTATTTACAAGAATTAAAGCAAGTGGACTGCTAAATTGTGTAGCTGCACGGAAACCTTTTTTGACTGAGGATCACAAGAGGAGACGAGTTGAATTTTGTAATGAATTTATAAACCGCGATGAGAATTTTTGGTCTAGGGTTGTATTTTCCGATGAAAAAGTATTTCAGTCGTATAATAATTGTCGAATAAGAGTTTATAGGCCGAGAAATCATAGGTATGATCAACAGTATACGCATCATTTAAGAAATAGTGGAGGATTCTCTGTCAACGTATGGGGATGGATAAGTGCCGAAGGCCCGGGCGTTTGTTATCATGTAGAGGAGAAGTTAACAGGATTATATTACAAACATATTATTGAGCACACAATGTTGCCATCGGTGATCCAGAGATTCCCCAACAACGACTTTATCTTCCAACATGACAATTGCCCGGTGCATACGAGTAGAATTGTTCGAGAATGGCTAGAAGAAACTGATGTTAATGTTCTTCCGTGGCCTTCCCGTAGTGCAGACTTTAACCCCGTCGAAAATGTGTGGGCAGAGTTAACAAAGAAACTAAATGAAAGAAACCTTAGACCACGGAATAGAATTGAATTATGGGAAGCAATTGAGCAGGCATGGGAAGAGCTTGTTAACTATAACATGAGGGGATTGGTGCTATCTATGAACAGAAGACTGCAAAATTGTATTGACAAGAATGGGGCTTCCACCAAAT